AGTACTGGGGCTTGAACTTAGCCCCTCATGCTGTGGCTTGACTTTTTTAGTCAAGGCTGCCAGTCCACCACTGGAGCCATACCTCTACTTCTGGAGTGAGGTGGTTAATTGGGAGACAAGAATCTAACAAATTAGGCTGACTTCGAACCTCAAACCTCAGATTTTAGTCTCTAAGTAACTAGAATTACAGAACTGCTGACACCCAGCAGAAAATTGACTTTTAAACTACTTATTTATATTGTTTTTTTAATTAATTAATTTTACTCATCTCTGAAATTTTATGATACATTTTGATGTTTTGAGGAAAATATATATGATAGTAACTACTTAGGTTAAGAGAAACTAATTATAGTGTAACCCAGTAAAATGTTTTCATTTTTTTCTAATATGAACCCAGTAAATAAGTTAAAGGCTTCCTTCATATTTCCAAATTAAAACCTTCATTATTAAGCTCCATTTAGTGTCATTTGAGTAAATTAATTTTTACAAGTTACAAAGTTGTCACAATTTCTTTATTTGCAATCTAGCTCATGAAATGCTTACCATTTCATGTTATATCTTAACACGAACAAAAGTTTTCCTATTTCAAGCATTACCATTATCTTTATGTCTTTTTGTTGTTCTTTTGGAGTACTTACAGCCTTGTATTTGGTCTGCAGTAGGCTACTGTATAGCTGATAAAAAAAAATGCAGTATTAGCCGGGCGCCAGTGGCTCACACCTGTAATCCTAGCTACTCAGGAGGCTGAGATCTGAGGATCGAGGTTCAAAGCCAGCATGGGCAGGAAACTCTGTGAGACTCTTATCTCCAATAAACCACTCGAAAACCGGAAGTGGTGCTGTGCCTTAAGTGGTAGAGCGCTCACCTTGATCTGAAGAGCTGAGGGATAGCACCCAAGCCCAGAGTTCAAGCCCCTCAACCAACCAAAAAAAAAAAAAATGCAGTATGAGCCGGATGTTGGCAGCTCACACTTGTAATTATAGCTACTCAGGAGGCTAAGAAGAGGATGATGGTTCAAAACTAGTCTGGGCGGGAAAGTCTGTAAGACTCTTATCTCCAAGTAACCACCAGAAAACCAGAAGTGGCACTGTGGCTCAACAAATGGTAGAGTGCTTGCCTTGAGCTGAAGAGCCGAGGGACAGTGCCCAGGCCCAGAGTTTAAGCCCCATGACCAACAACAACAAAAAATACAGTATGCTTAATATTTTAATTTCTGTTATTATAAAGGTCATTATTACATAGGTGATGTCCAGAGGGGTTACAGTTACATGTCAGGTGAAGAGTATATTCCTTTTTGGACAATGTTACCCCCCTTCCCTTGTACTCTGTTTTCTTTTACGGCATTATGCACCCATGGTTGGCCTGTTTAAAGTTCTGTCTATACTTTGCTGTGCCACCCCCTCCCCGACCCCTATCTATATTTTTATGTGTGCAGGGTTTCCAGTGTCTAGTTTTTCCATCTTTCAGGAATAAGATTTACTTATATAGCCTAAGCAATTTTTCTGGATTCAGAATCTGAATTGAGTTAAAAATGTTCTCCTGAGTGCTTAGCTCCTAGGAAGGTTGACTAATAACAAGGCTTCTTTTCTCTCCCATTATCCATTCTTTTATGAATATAGTCTTGGTTCTAACCTTAGGGTTTTTTTTTGTTTGTTTGTTTGTTTTTGGTCAGTCATGGGGCTTGAATTCTGGGCTTGGGCACTGTCCTTGCACAGCGCCAGGCAAGCGCTCTACCACTTGAGCCACAGCACCACTTCCCTAACCTTAGTTTTGACTGCCACAAAACTACTAAATCAGCAAAAGAAGCAAAGGAATCTTACTCACAGAAGGAGAAAATAGAAACAAAAACAGGAAACCATAAACTATTAGATGAGTAATTTAGCAAAGGAAGAATGGAAAACAGGCAAGTATCAAAAGGACAGGAAATACAGCACATCTTTTAATGTTAATATTAAGTATGAATGTTTTCAATTTTCCAGTGAAAAGATGTAGAATAGCAACTTGAATTAGAAAAGCAGGACCCAACCAATTTTTGCCTATAATAAATAAATATTGGGCTGGGAAGGTGGCTCAGTGGGAGAGTGCTTGCCTTGCATGCATGAGACCCTGGGTTCTATTCTTCAGCACCACATAAACAGAAAAAGCCGGAAGTGGTGCTGTGGCTCAAGTGGTAGAGTGCTCGCCGCCGTGAGCTGAAGAGCTGAGGGACAGTGCCCAGGCCCCACGACCAACAAAAAAATAAGCACATATTGCTATCAAAAGCTTAGGGAAAAAGAATGAAAAAAGAATTTTCAAGCAAATGGACCTCAACAGTTGACAGGAGTTGCTATATTTAAGTTGGATAGACTTCCAACTGAATCAGAAAAGACAAAGATTACTTCGTATTACTACAAGGAATGATGCATGCAAAGAAACAATGAACATAGATACCAAGTAACGCAATTTCTAGGATAATTTAACAAATATTACTGGATTTCCATGCACTGATAGACCCCAGCAGAAGGCTTCAATACCCTACTCATCAATAGATAAGTCATACCACCAAATAAACAGTCAACAAAGAAACCTCAACTAAATGATACAATAGGCTATCAAATGGACTTAGGATTCTATAAGGTATTCCATCCTGCAGCTGTATAATACACATTCTTCCCACCTCACACTTCTAGAAAACCAGGAACAAGGCAAAGCCAAAATTCACAAACAAACATTATGAATGAGGACAGATAGGGTCTATGTTCTTTGCACGTATGAAAATAGAACATTGAAACGTTGAGATGGTTTTAACCAGGGGCAGGAAAATATGGATAGAATGATAGTGGTAGACTGGTATATATTGTTTATGTATGTGGGAAAGTCACAATGAGACCCTGCTTATACAAGGAAGATAAGCTAATAAAGATTATGGCAGAAATTAATGAAGAGTTTTTTTTAAAAAATCTTAACAGTTTCTAGATACAGTTGACCTACTAAAACCAAGAAGATATAAACCACTTAAAGATGAGATTAAAAAAGTAATAAAAGTCTTCCAATGAAGAAAAGCCCAGGATCTAATAAGAATCATGGCAAATTCTTTTTTTTTATTGTGAAAATACTGTACAGAGGAGTTACAATTACATGGGCAAGATAATGAGTACATTTCTTATCAAGCATTGTTGCCTCCTCCTTTGTTTCCCCATCCTATCCCTTCCCATCTTCTCCACCCCCAGCCCCTCCCCCGTCCCCCCTCATGGTAAATTCTTTTAAGAACTTTACAGAAGAACTAGTGTCAGTGCTTCTCGAACTCTTCCATGAAATGGACAGGAAGGAAACACTACCAAATTCACTCAGTGAAGCTAGCATAACACTTATTCCAGAATGTAGACACACCAAAAGGGGGGTGTGGGGGAGACAAAAACCCATATGTTTGTTGAAGATTTATGTAAATATTCTCAAATTTCTTCAAAGTGAATTTAACCACATTAAAAAGATCATAAACCACGATTAAGTTCGTTTCATTCCAAGGATACTAGAATTGTTTGACCAAAAAAAATTTTAATGTGTTGTTTGCTAGTGGGTACTACCCGGTATACTAGGTTCTCAGGAGGCTGAGATCTGAGGATCAAGGTTCAAAGTCAGGCCAGGAAGCAAAAGCTGGCTTGAAGACATAGTTCAAATAGTAGAGTGCCAGGTAGGAGCAAACAAGTATGGAACCCCAAGTTCAGACCCCAGAATGGGAGAGAAAAAAGTGCAACAACAAAAATCACATAATCATTTCAACTGATAACAGAAAAAGCTTTTAACAAAATTCAACATCCTTTTATTATAGAAGCTCTAAATCAACTTGGAAAGAATGAACCTGAACTTAAGACTATACATGACAAACATATGGTCAACACCATATCTATGGGGAAAACAAATCATTTTACTCTAAAAGTCACACAAGAAACAATTGTATCCCCTCTCTCTGCTCTTACTAAATATGGTAGTAGAATTCCTCGCAAGAGCAAGAAAGTAGGAGAAAGAAATAAAAGGAATTCAAATAGGAAAAGAAAAGGTCCAATTATTCCTATGTGCAGATAAAATGACCCTGAATTTTTCAGATTTCACCAGAAAGTTTCTAGACCTGATAGACACCTCCAGAAACACAGAAGATATAAAATCAACATTCAAACCTAGTAGCTTTTCTACAATGCCATTCAAAAATAACATCCAAAACAGGCATATATCTGGGTGTTAACTTGGCCAAGGGTAAAGGATATCTACAATGAAAAGTATAAAATCCTGAAAAAAAGAAATTAAACTGAAAACAGAAATGTGTATGTATGTATATACGCCTATGCACACGTGTGCACATGTACATCTGCATGCACATGTACATCTTATATGTATACATATAAGGTTGTATACTTACACACACACACACATGCATCTGTATACACCGTAGCTTTACTGATACGGCTCTATTAGAAAGATCGTCCATAATATTATCCAGGGTAGTAAAGTTCCAGTCGCAGTGGCACGTTCCAGCATCTGTTTATTTTATTCCTGTTATGCTGTGGCATGGGCTGCAGCTGACAAATGCTGACTAGTGGATTCTAAAACAGGATGTGTCATAAACGAATGCTTTGACCCTTGACACTCACCTGTAAAACAGAGTCTGGCAGAAGTCAAGCGCGGGGTCGGGGTGGGAGGGAGAGTACCTGGGAAAGACACAAATGCACTCGTTGTGGTGCTTTTCGGGTCTCATCATCCGGGAGGCAGTGCGAAGTGCGCAGGCGCGTCCCCGGACACTGACCACGCCTCCTCGAGGACCACGGCCTCTGCCGGCCACACCCCCTTGTCTGTCTCTAGCCGACGCGCGCTCACGCCGCCTGACGTGCTCGTTCCCGGGGCGTCGCCCTGCGTACGCCTGAGCGGCGGCGGAGGCTGCCCCCGGCACCGGAAGTCACTCCCGTGGGTTTGACTTCAAATTCTCCCGGAGCTGTGGCGGCGCCGGGAGGTGGGGTGGGGGGGTGGGTAGGGGCTGTGGGTTGAAGCCGGCAGTGCTGGGCCGGCGAGGGCGAGGGGGTGGTGGAGGTTGGGCCGGCCGTCCTTCCTCGCCGCCCGAAGCCCGGCTCGGCCCTTGCTCCTCCGCCCGGCTGTGGGCGGCTTCCCGAGGCGTCTCGGCCTCCCTAGGTGAGTGCTGCGGGACCGGGCCCCCGATGGCGGCCGGCCGGCCGGCCCGGGGACTGGGGTGGCCTGTGGTGGACGTCCGTGGGGGTGGCCCGCCGTGCACACTGCCCTTGCCTGTGCTCGGCCCTTGCTGTTGTCGCCGGCCCCTGCGGCTCAGGTTGACCAGAGTCCCCTCGGTCGGGCCCAGCCGGGCCTGTGGGCGGGGGCCGCTGCCCATCCGTCTGTGGGCGTCGCCGGGTGTTTCAGGGTCGGGGGGGGGGGAGCGACCCTTTCCGGAATCCGTCCACGTCGCCCATCTCGAAACCCCGACAGCTCTCTGGCAGTCCGTGGTGTGGGCGAGATGTCACGCCGCGGCGTGGGTCGGAGCCCAGCGCCCTCCGCAAGGCCGCGGGCCCCTTCTGAATGGTCTCGGTGGGCGCGGTGGAGACCACTTCACGCCCCCGCCCACCCGCCCGCAGCTTTTGCTTCACGAGGTAAAGGGATGGCCCTGCTAGAGACAGCCGTGATCCGTAAGTGCCCCTGGCCCTTACATAATAATAACCACAGTTCACTCCCAACAGCGAATCGCCCTTGTGTATAGTAACTCCTAACTTTTAGTAGCATCGCCGTGCTCCCTTTCTCCGAGAACGCTCATGGTGTGCCTTGTCCCCTTAGAAATCAGATCTTCAGCCACTGCTGGAAACATTACTGATATTTTAGAATGTGTGAGAAAGATCAGTCATCTTAGCAGCTGTTGAGAAACACTCTTGTAATGTTGTGTGGGCTTAAATGTCTCAATGTCTCACCCTCTTTTCTTTTCCGAAGGAGATTATTTTTGCAATCAGTAAATTCTTACACCAGGATACAAGGAGCAAACTTTTGTTTCATGCTAACATTTGGCAACTTAAGCCTACACCATGCCTTAAAAAAACAAAAGCAGTGCTGGCTCATCAACTTTCAACATTGTTAGACCGTGAAGAGTTATATAAAGCTCCCTGCTATCCACTGTTCAAAAAGCCATTCTGTTTTTATAAATTCAGTGATAAACCTGCTGTATATAGCCTTGAAGGGATTCTGTAACTTTTTTTAGTAAATTAGCATCTAGTTTTCATATCCCACAGATGATCATCTTGAAAATTGCTTTGAGCCTATTGTTACCTTGAAAGTCACTCAGGTTGTTTTACTGCAATACCTTGAGGAGGATGCCAGGTTATTTTTTGTTTGTTTGTTTTGGGCAATATTGGATTTGAATTCAGGAATTCAGTCCTGCTAGGAAGACACTTTACCCGTTGAACCATATACCCCAGTCCTTTTTGCTTAGGTAATTTTGGCATTGAGTCTACCATTCTTCCTCCAAGATCAGCCTGGGACCATCCCAGTAGCTGGAATCCCAGGTGCTCACCACTGTGTCGAGCCTGTTTGTTTAGATGGGTGTCTCAAAACTTTGCTGGGGCTGGCCTCAAACCTCCACCCTTCTGATCTCCACCTCCTGAGTAGCTGAGATTAGATAGCCTTGATCTATCTTGCTCAGTGCTATGTTATTTTTCCTTTCTGGTCCTGGGGCTAGAACTTAGCTCCTGTCCCTGAACCTCTTTGTGGTCAAGGCTAACAATCTACCGCTTGAGCCCCAGCACCACTTCCTTTTATTTTTGTAGTTTATTGGAGATAAGATTCTCACAGGACTTTTCTGCCCAGGCTGGCTTTGAACCATGATCCTCAGATCTCAGCTTCTTAAGTAGCTAGGATTATAGGTGTGAGCCACCAGCTCCCAGCCTACACAATTGGATTTTATGGTTATATTTTGAAATAAAAAGTTTAGATAATGTTTTTTAAACATTTTTAGGTTTCCAACAGTGAAACTGAATTTTTTTGTTTGTACTTTAATTACATTCTAGGCTTGTTTCAGAGTAAATAGATAAATATCTTTCCATTAAATTTCAAGAATTTCATGTTTTAATTGTCTTATTTCAGTCTTTAGCTTAATCTTTGCAATTCAGCTTACTATTGTCAACATTTTATCTTCAAAGAAATTCCTTGCTACTATGGTGGTGCTTAAATATTTCTTATATGAATGACCTATGATCAGTATAGTAAAAGCTGCAGTATTGGTGAAACCAAGCCTAAGATTTCATAAAAAAATGTAAATGGATGTGGTGTCTTTAGGTCTGAAATACTGGAGGGCCTAGAATTTATTGCTTAGGGAGAGCAAAAAGATCTTAGGATTATGCCGGGTGCCGGTGGCTCATACCTGAAATCCTGGCTACTCAGGAGGCTGAGACCTGAGGATCACGGTTCAAAGCCAGCCTGAGCAGGAAACTCCATGAGACTCTTATCTCCAATAAACCATTCAGAAAACTAGAAGTAGCACTGTCGCTCAAGTGGTAGAGCACTTGCCTTGAGCTGAAGAGCTGAGCGATAGTGCCCGGGCCCAGAGTTCAAGTGCCCGGCCTAGAGTTCAAGCCCCACGATTGACCCAAAAAAAAAATCTTAATACTTAGAAATTTAGATATAGTATCTTTTTTTCAGATTATTTTGACCAATTATAATTGAGATTTTAATCATTAAATACTAAAATTAGGATTAGGATTTTAGTATTTTAAAAAATGTTACTTGAATTAAAACTTTGTTGTATCTTGCTGTTTAAATAACAGTATATTACATTGCCTAAGATTATTTCTTTCACTAATAATCTGTATAGCCAAGATTTTAAATTGTGAAGTAATCATTTTTACGTTGTTTTTTTTTTTTGGTGGGGTGGCCAATACTAGGGCTTGGACTCAGCCTGGGCACTATCCCTTAGCATTGAGCACTGTACTCACTTTTGTGTTTTGGGTTTTTTTTAGAGATTGCCTAAGAAAAAGAATTAGCTTTTTCTTCTTCTTTTGTGCTTGTACTAGTGCTAGAACTCAGGGCCTGGACACTGTTCCTTAGCTTTTTTGTGCTATGCTGGTGCTCTGGTTACTTGAACCATAGCTTCATTTCTGGATTTTTGATGGTTAATTTCAGAGTTTCAGGTTTGTTTGCCTTCCAACAGGGATCCTCAGATCTCAGGCTCTGGAGTAGGATTACAGGCAGGAGCCATTAACACCTGCTAAAGAATTATTTTTCTGTAGCATTTGGTGAACTAAGAGTACTTTTATATATTTTATCGGTGAATGCATTGTTTCTTTGATAGCCAAGGGTTTTTCCAGTCTTTTGTTATGATGTGGCCTTGGACTGATTTTTTTTTTTTTTTTTGGTTTGGTTGTGGGGCCTGAACTCTGGGCCTGAGCACTGTCCCTCAGCTCTTCAGCTCAAGGCTAGCACTCTACCACTTGAGCCACAGCGCCACTTCCGGCTTTTTTTTTTTTCTGCTTATGTGGTGCTGAGGAACCGAACCCAGGGCCTCATGCATACAGGGCAAGCACTCTACCACTGAGCCACCTTCCCAGCCCTGGACTGATTTTTACATTTGTATTTCTTAGAAAAATTTCAGCTCTTTGGCTGCTAAGGAATTTATGTGATTAAAAAGGGAAGTTCAAAGCATATAAGCTTTAAAGAAGTCCAGAGTAATCAGCCATTGAATCATCAAAATAAAACGTGAAGATCACCTGTAAATATAAGTAACAATTGAATGTAATCTATTTTATTTTTTAAAGTGGAAGAAAGGGAAAGAAAGACAGAAAGACAAGAAGGAAGGGAGGGAGGGAGGGAAAAGAAAAAGGAAGGAAGAAAAAAGATTCATAAAGAGAATAAATTTGATCAAAGTATAAAAAAAAATAAATAAAGTGGAAGAAAGGGTAGACAGATCTGGAGAGGGTCTATTAAGGAAAAGAGAAAAAGAAAGGAGAGGCCTCGTATCCAAGCCCAGCCAGGTTCTCTGTATACTTTCAACAGCTGTCCCCAGTTATACTCTTCCAACACTGTTGACCAGAGTAGTGTCCTGCTGCTGGGACAAGGATGGCTTCAGAGCAGAAGGAATTAATCGAGAATCAAGCAGTAATCTTAGCTTGATAAGGATGTGCTGAGGATCAAGGAATGTGAGTGTTAAGGGTCAGGAAATGGACCAAGCTATCTTGTCTTTGTGGTTAAGACAAGACCAGTGGCTTACACCTGTAATCCTAGCTACTCTGGAGGCTCAGATCTGAGGATGGAGGTTAGAAACTATCCCACATAGAAAAGTCCATAAGACTCCAGAAGTAGAGCTATGGCTCAAGTGGCACAGTGCTACCCTTGAGGGGAAAAGCTAAGGGACAGGGTAGGCCCAGGACTAGCCCCAGGACAGTTCAAGCCCTAGGACTAGCATCGAAAAAACAAAAGCAAAACAAGAGCCCTCTGCACTATGTAACTGAAGACTTGACTTAGTAAATGGAATATGTCATGTGTTAACACTAAGTAACCCTAGCAGCTCATTCACCACTGTTTTGGACTTGCTTTTATTTTATTCTCAGAGTCACAACTGTAATCATTGCCCTCCTCAAAACATGTAGTGGATCGGTGGCTCAAGTGGTAGAATGCTAGCCTTGAGCAAAAGAAGATCAGGGACAGGCATAGCCATAATTTAAGCCCCAGGACTTGGAAGAAAAAAAAAAAAAAGAACCTACTTCTAGTGCTATATCTATGTCTATCCATACAATCTAACTGCTAAGATTAGACAACCTTCTCATGTATAAAAGGTTTCAGAAAGGATAAACTTAACATTTATTGAAGACTTACTCTTTGTTAGGTAGTGTGGTATCAATATCTGTAGTCTGGCCTTGAATTCAGATTACCAAGTGCTAAGATTATAAGTGTGCTGTCATACTTGGTACCAGGTGCTGTAGACAATTAGTCTTTACCGTGAAATTTGTGCAAGTATTAATATATTAATTTTATTTATTTAAAAACAGGCTTAGAAAAACATTAAAGGACTTGGCCAATGTCTTTTAACCAAGATTTTTTCTAATTTCAAAACACATATGTCTTCTACTTATTCGTACTTACTCCAAAATTACATCTAGCATCCAGCACTGTGTCTGTAATGTTAATAAACTTTGTGTTAAAATGTCAGCTGGGTGCAGTAGCCTATATCTAAAATCAGAGATTGGGAAGATTAAAGTTTGAGGCCAGCCTGGGCAAAAAGTTAACAAGACTCCAACCAATTAAAAAAAAAAAAGCTGGGCATGATGACATATCATTGTTATCCTAGCTATCTGAGAAGGGAAAGTATAAATGTAAATAGAAAGATTGTGGTCAAAGCTACTAGAAAATAAAAAGCTTTATCTCTAAAGAAGAAAATTAGCTGGACAATTAGAAAATACTGATGCTAGAGAGTGGGCCTGTTTCCCTGAACACATGGACAGATGTTTAGCTATTGATCTATATTCCCAGTCCAGTGGTAAGAAACTGTGTATTAGTCTGCTACTACTAATCTTGCTGTACTTCAACTAGAAGACTATAGGTCATTAAAACTTCCTACCATTGACTTGGCCTCAGATAAGCAAATTCCAGTGCAGAATCATAGAAATATTAAAAAAGAAAAGAGATGTCTCCAGAAGTCAACAATTCCACGTAAGGAATTTTATGATAAGGAAGTGAATTAAGTCCCAAGGAACTAAAAAAGAATGATTATAAAAGAATAACCAATGAAATTAAAAAGGACACAACCAATGGGAAAAAAAACACCTGAATTAATTCTAAGACAATAAAAATGAATGACTGAATGAAATAAGGAAGACAATGCAGGATATGAAAGAGGACTTTGTTAAAGCAGAAGTGCTGTGAAAAATAAAATTGAAATTCTGGAAAATCAAATGAAATTACAAAAAACAAAACAAAGTTGATGGTTTCACCCAGAGACTTTGGTAGAAAAATGAGTTTTGTCTTGAAAACTCATGGTAGATGATAGGACATAGACTAAACTTAGTCTAGTAGAGATAAGACTATAAATGTAGAGTAACTATAGACATACTTGAAGATGAAAGTCATACCAGAGGACTTCACCTGAGGAAACATTTATTTTGAACTGAGGAATTCCTTAAATAGATGACTGAGAGAACTAAAACAAGACAGATATTTCTTTAAGAACAGGAAATGATACCTGTCTAGAGGCAGAATGTGTCCTATATGGTTGTGAGTTTCTTGAGGAAACCCTGAAAAGTCTACTTTAAAAAAAGTGTTTATGGTATATATTTCTATGTATATAATGTTTCTTTCTTTTGTAGGGTACATTGGAGTATGAGTCTACTTATGATTAGTGAGAATGTGAAATTGGCTCGTGAATATGCATTGTTGGGAAACTATGACTCTGCAATGGTGTATTATCAGGGAGTTCTTGACCAAATGAACAAGTATCTATACTCGGTCAAAGATACATACCTCCAGCAGAAATGGCAACAGGTAAGAATCGTGTCTGCTACAAATTTTAATAGTATTCATGAGAAGATTTAGATTTATCATTCATGTTTCATATACACACAATATGATTTATTACATGGATTTGTATACAGTGCTGCTTGAAACATATTAGTAACGGTCCTTTTTACTTTCCTTTTTTTTTTTATTGTGGTTGGTCATGGGGCTTGAACTCTGGGCTTGCACTCTTCAGCTCAAGGCGAGCACTTGAGCCACAGCACCACTTCCGGTTTTCTAGTGGTTTATTGGAGATAAGAGTCTCACGGACTTTCCTGCCCAGGCTGGCTTTGAACCATGATCCTCAGATCTCAGCCTCCTGAGTAGCTAGGATTACAGACATGAGCAACTGGTGCCTGACTTGAGCTCTTTTTTAATTATTTTTGTCTGTGTGTGTGAGTATGCATAAACTCAGGGCCTTAGCTTTATGCCTAAGCATACCATGAGCTGACCCTCTATTACTAGAGCTATATTCTATTACTTGAGCCACACCTCCAGCCTAGCTTTTTTTGCTGGTTAATTGGAGATAGAGTTCTTTAAACTTTTCTGCTAGGCTGGCTTCCAACCTCAATTTTCAAAACTTAGCCTCCCAAGTAGCTAGGATTACAGGTGTTAGCTACTGTTCTCAATTTATTTAAAACCTTTTTCTGGCATTATTTTATTGTATAAATGGTTTTTGTTGTGATATTTTACATACATGCATATAATGTACTTTGATCAAGGATCTCAAAATACACAGTTTCAAACTGGGATCCACAGAGAGAGCTTGTCTGAAAAAGGAAAAGTTAAGTAGTATAAAAGCTATCAAGGATAGCAAAAGTTTAAATTCCTTTTCTTTTCTTTTTTTTTTTTTGCTGGTCCTGGGGCTTGGACTCAGGGCCTGAGCACTATTCCTGAGCTACTTTTGCTTAAGGTTAGCACTCTACCACTTGAGCCACAATACCACTTTCAGCTTTTTTTGTAATTTATTTGAGATAAGAGTCTCATGTACTTTCCTGCCTTGACTGGCTTGAACTGTGATCCTCATATCTCATCCTCCTGAGTAGCTAGGATTACAGGCATGAACCACCAGTGCCAGATCTTTTCTTTTTTGTGTGTGGGGCTAAGTTTTAGTCAGGTTCTTGTTCTGTCTCAGCATCCTAAGTGTTGGTTTAGATTACAGGCAATATACCAGGACAGACTTTTCAATTTCTTGTGCAATTTAAGAGCTGTAACTCAGTCACAGTTTAATTACCCAGGATATTTAACTTGCTTTATTAGAATTAATTTTGCAGTTGAAAACAAAAAATTACCCATTATTAAAAATTTGACAAAACATGTGGGTATGGTTTGCATAGGTATCTATATTTGATATCAAAATACAAGTTTCTAACATCTTTAACAAATAATCCTAGTTTAATCTTGGTTGATATATTTTTAAAAAATCTAAAGAGCTTTACTCTTTGAAACCAGGTTTGGCAGGAAATAAATGTGGAAGCTAAACATGTAAAGGATATCATGAAAACACTCGAGAGCTTTAAACTAGATAGCACTCCCTTGAAAGCTGCACAGCATGAGCTTCCGGCTTCTGAAGGAGAAGTCTGGTCTTTGCCTGTACCTGTTGAACGAAGGTAAGAGAGGATATTTTAAGCCAACAGCTCCAAGAATTGATAGAAATGGTCATATGAATCAGGACTGGATGGCAGAGAGGCTGGGCTTGGAGAAAAGTATTGACTGAAAAGTCCTATTATAGTTTTTTGTTTTTAATAATTGTTGTATATTGCATGACTTTGTGACTTAGTCCAAGAAATGACATTTTGGCATAAATACAGTTTTGTGCTTAAGCACGAAGTAGTGGAAACAATGGCCCATTATTAGCAGTCCAATACACATTTGGTTACTTCTACTTAGAGAAAAAACAATTGTTGTACATCAAAGATTAATGAAATATTAATCTGATTGCTGAAAAACAAAAAAAAACAATTATCAGAGAAGAGTTTATAAATAAATCAAATATACAAATACTGAATTTACATTTATCCATTGGTATATGCAATCTAATATTATTTAAGTATCATAATTATGTTTCAATTAATATTTTCTGCCATAGAACTGGAGATTAAATAAATACACATACATCCACATATATATGTATATATACACAGGTATATATACTTGTATGTACCTACACATATACATGTGTGTATATACTTATGTGTGCATATATATTCATATATGTATATGCATACATGTATGTATTTGTATATATACACACATAAAATACCTCCGCAAATTCTTTTAAGTATTCACAAGTGCTTACATCATTTTTTAAAATTTATTTTTGCTGGTTCTGGTCCTTGCACTCAGGGCCTGCATGCTATTCCTGATCCTCTTTGTGCTCAAGGCTTGAGCCAAGGCGCCACTTCTAGCTTTTTTTGAGTAGTTTATTAGAGATAAGAGTCTCATGGGAACTTTTCTGTCCAGACTGGCTTCAAACTGATCCTCAGATCTCAGCCTTCTTAGTAGGTAGGATTACAGGTGTGAGCCACTGGCACCCCAGCTTTATATCTTTTTCTTATAGAACATGATTAAATTATTAATTGAAACATGACAATTATACCTAAACTAATACCAATTGCATATACCAATGAATAAATGTAAATTCAGCTTTTGTATTATTTTGATTTACTTTTTTGTAAAACTCTTCTCAGATAATTGTTCTTTTTTGTTTTCCAGTAATATTTCATTCATAGTTGATGTACAACAATTGTTTTTTCTTTTTCTTTCTTTCTTTTTTTTTTTTGTCAGTCTTGGGGGCTGAACTCTGGGCCTAGACACTGTCCCTCATCTCTTCAGCTCAAGGCGAGCACCCTACCACTTGAGCCACAGCACCACTTCTGGCTTTTTTCTGCTTATGTGGTACCGAGCAGTTAAACCCAGGGCCTCATGCATGCGCAGCAAGCACTCTACCACTGAGCCAACTTCCCAGCCCAACAATTGTTTTTTCTAAGTAGAAGTCACCATTACCTTAATTATTTCTGAACTATAACTATACTGCCTTCCTCTTATTAAATCACCACAGCAGTTAGGTCAGGTTTAAATTTTCGATTTCAACATGCTGAACTTTGTACAGTTGGGTTTTGTAGTTTTTGCCTTTATCCATATTTGAATCATGATTTTAATGGTCTTGTGTTCAGACCTTCTCCAGGACCTAGAAAACGTCAGTCTCCCCAGTATAGTGACGCTAAACCACATAGTAACCGCCCAAGCACAGCTGTCAGAGCTCACCGTCCATCTGCACAAAATCATCACAATGACAGAGGGAAAGCTGTTCGTTGTCGTGAAAAGAAAGAACAGAATAAGGGAAGAGAGGAAAAGGTAAATGTTCTTGATTTTTATGAGTGAAAAGTTACTTTTTAATCTTAAAAATACTTAAAAAGAGCCGGGCGCTGGTGGCTCACATCTGTAATCCTAGATACTCAGGAGGCTGAGATCTGAGGATCGCGGTTCAAAGCCAGCCCGGGCAGGAGAGACCGTGAGACTCCTATCTCCAGTAAACCACCAGAAAACCGGAAGTGGTGCTGTAGCTCAAGTGGTAGAGCGCTCGCCTTGAGCTGAAGAGCTGAGGGACAGCACCCAGACCCAGAGTTCAGGCCCCATGACTAGCAAAAAAAAAAAAAAGTAGGCAAGTTAAAAACAATGAACACTACAAAGATTTAAGATCCAGTGATCATCAAAATTTGGTAGTCAGTTTCCCAGAGTTGTTATAAAACCTTCGTCAAACTACACTTACACTAGAATTTTTCCCATTTAATATATTTTTGGTGCTGGTTTTTTGTTTTGTTCTTCATTTTCGTATTGGTTGTGGGGCTTGAACTTGGGGCCTGGGCTCTTCCCTGAGCCTCTCGTGCTCAAGGCTAATGCTCTACCACTTGAGCTACAGCATCACTTCCAGCTTTTTCTGTTTATGTAGTACTGAGGAATCAAACCCAGGGCTTCATGCATGCTAGGCAGGCACTCTACCACTGAGCCACATTCCCAACCCTTTGGCTGCTATTTTTAACTTTGGTTTGATTTAGCTTGGCACTAGTGGCTCACATCTGTAATCTTAGCTTCTCAGGAGGCTGAGATCTGAGAATTGTGATTAGAGGCTGCAATCTTAATCTCCTATTGATTAATCAGCAAAAGGCCATGAGTGGGAGGATGACTGAAGTGGTAGAGCACTGGCCTTGAGTGAAAAAGCTAAACTGACACAAACACAAAACTTAACAGGCTGATAGATTCATTACATTTTGCAAAAAAGTCTTAAGAATAGTATAAAATCAAATAGTATTTTAATCTAGTTTTACCATTTGTCTAGTTGAATCCTAAAGACACATCTGATATGTCCTCATAGTTAAGATGAAGGTTTTGTATTTTGGTAGGGATATCATCAGCCATGATGTTCCCTTTCAGTGTATCACATAAGAATGCATAGTATGTTTGTCCTTACTAGTGATCAGTTGAATTACTTGGTAAAGGTGGTGTGTGCCAGGTCTCTCCACTATAAAACTGTTTTATCACTTTTTTTCTTTTGGCCTTATTGGGGTTTGAACTCAATCAAGGCCTTACACTTGCTAGGTTGGCACTCTGCCACTGAGCCACACCTCGAGCTCTTTTTTGTGTTGGTTATTTTCTTTTTTCTTTCTTTTTTTTTGGGGGGGGGCGGTCCGGTTGTGGGCCTTGAATTCTGGGCCTGGGTGCTGTCCCTCAGCTCTTCAGCTCAAGGCTAGCGCTCTACCACTTGAGCCACAGTGCCACTTCCAGCTTTTTTCTTTTTGCTTATGTGGTGCTGAGGAATTGAACCCAGGGCCTCATGCATGCAAGGCAAGTGCTCTACCACTGAGCCACCTTCCCAGCCCCTTTTTTTTCTTTTTTTCCCTCTTTTTTTTTTTTATTGGTCGTGGGGCTTGAACTCTCAGCCTGAGCGTTGTCCCTCAGCTCTTCAACTCAAGGCTAGTGCTCTACTACTTGAGCTACAGCACTACTTCTGGTTTTCTGGTGGCTTATTGGAGATAAGAGTTTCACAGCATTTCCTGCCCGGGCTGGCTTTGAACCGAGATCCTAAGATCTCAGCCTCCTGAGTAGCTAGGATTACAGGCATGAGCCACCAGCGCCCAAAATGTACTGGTTATTTTCAAGGTAAAGCCTGCTTTATACTCTTTCAGGTGTGGTTTCAAGCCTCCTACTTGTGCTACTTTGTGTCCCTAGCAATGACAGGCCACTAGGGATTACATGTACCTATCACCCAGCTGTTAGTTGAGATGTAATCTCTAGAATTTTTTTTTGTCCTGGGCTGACCTTAAGCCTCTGGCACCAGGCTTGTGTAGAGGATTTTAAAGCCATTCTTCCACATCTAGTCCCTGAATAACAAACTTCTCTTACTTTTCTTTCATCCAAGAATGTTTTGATTTCCTATATATTCCTAAAGGATTTTTTTTTTGCCTGTCCTGGGACTTGAACTCAGGACCTGGGTGCTGTCTCTGAACCTCTTTGTACCAAAGGCTAATGCTCTACCACTTGAGCCAGTGCCACTTCCAACTTTTTCTGAGCAATTTATTGGAAATAGGAGTCTCACGGACTTTACTGCTGTGACTAGCTTCAAACCAGTCTTTAGATCTCAGCCTTGTGACTAGTTAGGTTTCTAGGCATGAACCACCAGCACCTGCTCCTAAATGATATTTTTCATGACTATAGAATTCTGAGTTGATAGCTCTTCTTTTTTAAATTTTTAAATTTTTTGTTGTTCTTTTTAAGCTCTTTTCTTTCTTTTTTTTGGGGGTGGGGGGACATGGCGGTCGGTCATGGGGCTTGAACTCTGGGCCTGGGCACTGTCCCAGAGCTCTTTAGCTGAAGGCAAGCACTCTACTATTTGAGCCACAGTGCCATGTCCTATTTTCTGGTGGTTAATTGGAGATAAGCTTGGGCTGGCTTTGAACTGCGATCCTCAGACTCAGCCGCCTGAGTAGCTAGGATTACAGGCCTTAGCAACCGGAACCCTGCTAAGCTCTTTTCTTTGAACACTGGAAAATACTGTACCACTTTCTTCCGGACTCTGTTTTCTAAGGGAAAAAAAAAAAATCTGCTTTCAATAGAATTCTTTTTCCCTACTTGGGTATGGTGGTAGATCTATAATCCCTGAACTAAGGAGACCAAGGCACATCTTTAATCCCTGAACTAAGGAGGCCAAGGCAGGAGGATTGTTTGAAGTTAAACTGTTATACACTAGACTGTCTCAAAAATAAGACCACCAGATGCTACTGGCACACCTCTGTAATTCTAGCTACTCAGGAGACTAAGATCCCAAAGAGCAGAGTTTGAAGCCAGTCTGGGCAGAAAAGTCTGCAAAACTCCATCTCCAAAATAACCAGCAAACAGCTAGGCATTGCTTATGTGGTAGGGTGTGAAGACCTGAGTTCAAATCACAAAAGTAATAAACAAAAAAGGTAAAAGGAAAAAGATATCAGTTGAGTCCCATTTTATTTCTGATTCACAGAAACTTTCAGAACGCAGTTTTTCAAGGAATCAAACTCTTGATTTTTTTTTTCTCCTGACATAGAACAAATCACCTGCTGCAGTTTCTGAACCAGAGACAAATAAATTTGATAGCACAGGATATGACAAGGACTTAGTAGAAGCTTTGGAAAGAGATATAATTTCTCAGAATCCCAATGTTCGATGGTAAGTTATATTACAAAATAATTGGGCATGGTTATGGTTTTAGAGAGGGAAAATGAAACAAATATGGATGTGTACTAAAGATTGTCCTTGAGGATAGAACCAGAGTCTTTGTGGTATTTCAGAACATACCATGGAATGCTACATTTCTACTTAGGTTCTACTTCTTTTTCTAAGGTTTTTTTCTTTTTTTCTTTTTAATTATTAAGTTATATATAAAATGGCAATAAGAGCACAGAGATTTTACCTTCTTTTTGAGATAACCTTTGGTAGTGGTTTATTTCCTATTAGAGCACTGATTTTCAGCATTTTAACATTATATTTAGTCAGATATGTAACCTTTCAAAACGCATTTAAAAAGCTCACTTTACCACAAAGTTAGGTATTTTGTGTTAAAACAATAATGATAACTAGGTATACTTGTGAGTTATAGTTGAGAAGTTTTTGGTATTCATACTTGTACAATGAAGCATTTTTGCAATACAATTGCCACACATATCATTAATAATATTCTAATGGTTGAGTTGACTTCAGACTAATTTGTGATGCTTTTAACTTCAATATTTATCTCTTAGGGTTTCAGACCTAGGCTGTGATGGCTCATGCCTATAATCCTAGCTACTTAGGAGGCTGAGATCCAAGGATAATGGTTCAAAGCTAGCCTGAGCAGGAATATATGTGAGACTCATTTCAAATTAACCACCAAAAAGCCAGAAGTTGAGCTGTGGCTTGAGCGGTAGAGAGCTTGTCTGAATATCTTGACTCTGAAATGCTCCATTTAGCAAAAAGCAGGGCAGGATCCATGGCATAACTGGTAGAACACTAGCCAAATGAACAGGAGGCCTTTAATTCTGACCCCAGTACTACCAAAAGAAAAAATAAAAAAGAGAAGGAAAAGGATATGTGTAGGTCTATGTTCTCATGAGCTAAGCTGAACACTATTCTTGCCAAGAACTGCAGATAGAGAGTGTGCTCTTTGTGTTTACTGGAGGACACAGTAGGTCAAACCACAGTGTGATAGTTCACTAGTGCTCACCTTCTGTTCACAGTGTAAAATCACGTAAAATAGCAGAGGTTCTCAAGAGACCACAACGTAGGGTCAAATATATAACCTACAAACTTAGTTGATAAAGTATCTTCTCTTTCAGGGATGATATTGCTGATTTAGTAGAAGCTAAGAAGTTGCTTAAGGAAGCCGTGGTGTTACCCATGTGGATGCCAGAATTCTTTAAGGGCATTAGGAGGCCATGGAAAGTAAGTCTATTAATCTTAAGAATCACCTGAGTAAATGACCATAAATTGACTCAGAGAGCCACTGTTTCTTCATATTTGGGAAAGCAGAGTGAGAAAAACTAAAAAGTGTTTGTTGTTTTTGTTTTGTTTGCAACAAAAGCCATTGGAAGAGTACATGATGGCACATCCCTCTAATCTCAGCTACTTGAACGATAGAGATTGGGAGGATTGTGGTCAAAAGCTAGCATGGGCAAAAATAAAGTGCAGTGATGCGTACCTGTAATCTAGTCAGAAGACTAAGATGGGGAGTATCGTAGTTCAAGGCCAGCCCAAACAAAATATTTTATGAGACCCCATCTCAACCCAAAAGCTGAGTACAGTAATTATATATATATATATATATATTAGTTATATATATATTAGTTATATATATAAATAGGAGGGGCATAATGCAGGCTGACCCCGGCAAAAAGTGACACCTATTTGAAAATTAACAAGAACAGAAAAGGGCTGGGGCATGGCTTAAGTGTACAGTGTACAGTGCCTGCCTAGCAAATGTGAGGCCCTAACATCAAACATCAGTATCATATACAAACAGAAAAAGAAAAACATAGGTGTGTTTACAAACGATGTACACAGATTTAGAATAACCATACATTTGCAGATAAGACCTAGTCAGCTAATAGAAAATATTCCATTTTCATTTGTCATGTTGCAACCTACAGTATGTATTTTTAGAATTGTGCTTTATAAATTGAGAAATAGCCAGGCATCAGTAGCTTATGTGTATAATTCTAGCTTCTCAGGAGGCTGAAATCAGGATCGAGGTTTGAAGCTGGCCTGGGCAGGAAAGTCCGTGAGACTCATCTCCTCGTACCACCAGGAAGCTAGAAGTTGAGCTATGGCTCAAGTAGTAGAGTGCTAGCCTTGAGAGAAAAATAGCTCAGGGACAGTACCCAGGCTCTGAATTCAGACCCCAGGACTGACACAAAAAAATTTTTTTTTGAGAAATATCTGTATATAATGAGTACTTTTTAAAGTTACAGGCTGATAAAAGTAAATAATAACAAAGTAAAGTCATGGGCTAGTAGGAAACTAAAAAAAAAAAAATCTTGGATTTAGAAAATGTGCCAGTGGATAACTGCTTTAAATAGTTTTGTTTGTTTGTTTTTTGGTTGTGGAGCTTCAATTCTGGGCTTGGGCACTGTCCCTGAGCTCTTCAGCTCAAGGCAAGTGCTCCACCACTTGAGCCACAACATCACTTCCGGTTTTATTGTGGTTTATTGGAGATAAGAGTTTCACAGTCTTTCCTGACCTGGCTGGCTTTGAACCTCAATCCTCACATCTCAGCCTCCTGAGTAGCTAGGATTACAAGCATGAGCCACCGGCTCCTGGCTTTTTTTTTTTTGTCAGTCGTGGGGCCTGACCTCTGGGCCTGGGCCCTGTCCCTCTGCTCTTCAGCTCAAGGCTAGTGCTCTACCACTTGAGCCACAGCACCAATCCTGGCTTTCTGCTTAGGTAGTGCATGAGGGCCTCACGTATGCAAGACAAGCACTCTATCACTGAACCACCTTCCCAGCTCCACCTGGCTTAGTTTTTAAAGTCTCTTAAATGTGATAAGCAATGAAATTACTGCTATTTTTTTTTTTTTTTGTCGGTTGTGGGGCTTGAACTCTGGGCCTGGGTGCTGTCTCTCAGCTCTTCAGCTCAAGGAGAGCACTCTACCACTTGAGCTACAGCGCCACTTCTGGTTTTCTGGTAGTTTATTGGAGATAGGAGTCTCACGGTCTCTCCTGCCCGGGCTGGCTTTGAACCGCGATCCTCAGATCTCAGCCTCCTGAGTAGCTAGGATTATAGGCG